GGAGCCGCCCTCGGAGCCGCCCTCGGAGGACCCCTAGCCGCCCCAGTCCCCCTGCGGCCGGCAGCCAGCCTGGCACCCAGGCAAGGAGCAGATGGCCTGGTCCCTGCTGGTTCCACTGACAAGGATTGTGGTGTCGCTTTTTAAAACTTAAGGCTCACTGTTGAAATCAAAGTCAGACATACCCAAGGTTAAAACAATCAAACGGGCACAGAAGGAGCTTAGGAATAACAGTAGGTGTCCTTCCCTTAGCCCACGCCAGCGGTTTTAATTGACTTCATTAAAAAAAAATTCTTCTGGTAGTTTTCTCCCCAAGTCATAGGCTAAAATCAGAGTTTCTCCATGTGTCGTTTTTGCCCCAAGTCAATAACAAATGAGGGTTTGATGCTCTGACCCTTTCTCACCCCTGCCATCCCTTCCTTTCCTTTCTCCCATTTTGGATAGTTATATTTTTGGGCCACCTCTTGGTTATTTTTGTAACTTTATACACCACACCTAGAACTCTCTAGAATCGCATTGACTTTAGTTGGCCGGGGGACACCCTACCGTGTAGATGAGGGTAGCAGCACCGGGACCCTCCCTTCCCATCTCCCCCTCCCCACCCCTCTCTTCCTCCCTAAAGAATCCCAGCAGGACATCCTCCCCCACTTCCCAGGTGTGCAGGGGCCAGGCAGTTGGGGCTGAGGGAGCATGCCCAGAGCCACAAAGTCACCTGCCAACACCTTCTTGGACTTCTCTTCAGACCCTGTCCAAGGACCAGACCTTGTCACCACCCAGCCGGCCTCCCCAAGCGTGTAACTGGTCCTAGCCGTCTGATGTACTCTTCTTTCCCATCATCCTGGTTGTTGACATCTATCTTCTGCTCCGTAACCAAAATTAAGTCTTCTGCGCTTTGTCCATAGGCTGAGTGTAAAATCTAAGAATCAATAAACAGCATTTACATGATTATGGCCGTGTAAGTATGTTTCCCTGCAGGGCCCTGTGGTGCTTTGATTGCATTTCTTTTTCTATGGCTCCCATTTCATGACCCCTGGACCCCGCAGAATGAGGATATTCCTGACATCTGGAGTGGCAGCGTGTATTGTAACACGGCAGCATTTTATTTTCTCTTCTCTTTTTACCTTTTCTTTCTTTCTTCTAGAAGGTTTGAAGCGGAAGCCCTCCCTCCCCACCTTGGAGAAAAGGGGCGTTAATTTTAGAATGCTGCAGGCTTGCTGTCCAGTGGGCTATCCGGGTATAGTGTGAAGGAACCAGGCGGGAGAGGAGGTTTTAAAGGAAGTCAGAGGGAGGGGAGAAGAAGCAGCAAGACAGGAGTGTTCTGAAGCCAGAGGATCTGGAGAGGGTAGAGCAGGGAGTGAGGCTGGGGACAGGGAGTAGAGGGGACCTTTGCCCGCCGTCTCCTGGCAGCACTGCCCTGGGAGGGAGGCCTGGGTGGTGTCTGGGCAGCCAGAGGCTCGAGTGTGGCTCAGAAGCAGATAAAGAACCCAGCAAGGGGCATTATTTGAGGGCCAGGGACTATGGCCTGCAGACTTCCTGGCCTCCCTTGTCCTGTCCATTTTCCATATGCAGCTGTTCTACCGGCTGCCCTTTCTCAGTGAGAGAACACCTCAGTTGCAGCCAGTATGTGGCCTGCAGACACCACCCTCCCGCCACACACACACACAGCAGAACTGATGCCTGAATGCATCCCTGCTTAGTCCTGTCTGACTCTCCTGTGTGAACAGCTCCCCTTCTGATGCCCCAGGATATTCACAAGCCCAGGAAAAATGAGAGATGGGGCCAGGTGCGGTGGCTTATGCCTATAATTCCAGCACTTTGGCAGGCTGAGGTTGGAGGATTGCTTGATTTCAGGAGTTTGAGACCAGCCTGGGGAACAGACCTTGTCTGTACAAAAAAATTAAAAAATTAGCTGAGTTTGGTGGCACGCACCTATAGTACCAGCTACAAGGGAGGTTGAGGCAGGAGGATTGCTTGAGCCCAGGAGTTGGAGGCTGCAGTGAGCTATGATTGTGCCACTGCACTCCTGCCTGGGCAACAGAGTGAGACTCTGACTCCAAAAAGAAAAAAGAAAAAACAGAGAGAGAGAGAGAGAGAGAGAGAGAGAGAGAGAGAGAGAGAGAGAGAAAATGTGTGTGTGTGCCAGTCCAGGACATCAATAGTGTGGCAGACTATACTCTGGAGAAAGTGTGTGCAGGGATTCCTTGTCCCATTACTGTCTTCCTCAGGAAGAGAATGGGCCAATAGAACTACTTTTCAGAAACCACTGTATCTCACACCCTATCTTACTAGTACAGAGGCGATGGGAGGCAGGCGTGGGAGAGACACAGGCAGCCTCTCCATCCAGGGCTCTGGTTGCTGCATGGGCTTCCTTCTGTGCCCTAAAAACCAGCCTCAGAGGAAGATCTGGCTGACCAGATCTGGCAGGCAGATGCAGGAGGCTGCAAGGCCCATCCCAGTCTCCTTTCCCAGGGATGTAGCAGGAGGGCTTTGTTTTCAGGTGGCCAGCAGGGGGAAGCGGAGAACAAGCCAACTGTGGTCTCTGGTCGGGAGATGCAGTTCTGCCAGTCCTCACGGAAAACCTCACGTTGGGCTCTGGATGTGGCGTTTCTCCACGAGTCCTTCTTGTCCCTGACCCCTACAAGGTCGCTAGATCAGGCAGGCTGGCAACAGAGGTGCTTAGAAACATGGAATCAGACGGCCAGCAGACTAGGACCTCAGAGATAACTCAGTCCCATTCCCTTGCACAGATGGGGAAATTGAGACTGAGAGAGAGAGAGTGCTAAATCCCCCTCCAAAGCTGGGGTAGATCCAGAGTTAGCATCAGGTTTCCAGATGTCTGGGCTGGGGCTTTTTGTACTACACAGTGCTGCTTCCTTCACCAGGTAGTCCATACATGGATATGATATGTTAAAAAAAAAAGGAAAAGAGAAAAAAGTAAAACATATCTGGGAGCATGTCAGTAGCCTTTGTTTGGGAACAGTTAGAGGGGGCAACATGAGAGGTGCTTGCGAGGGTTCTGCTGCCCCCTCTGACCCGATACCTCCCTCTGAGAATCATACTGGTTAGCCTAGGCCTTTGATCCCGAGTATGAGCCACAATTCTGCCCTCTGTCCTCACTGGAGGTGACATGGACCCTGAGACCAGGGAGTCACTTGAGAGGGTAGTAAGGGGACTGAGTGGTCTGAGGGAGCCCCCTGGGTATTGTGTAAGTCTGTGAGTTTCCTATGGCTGCTGTAACAAATTACCAAAAACTTAAAGACTTGATACAAATTTATTCTTCTACAGTTCTGGAGGTCAGAAATCCTAATATGAGGCCTGTGTGGTGACCTGCACCTGTAATCCCAGCACTTTGGGAGACCAAGGTGGGAGGATCGCTTGAGCTTAGGAGTTCAAGACCAGCCTGGGTACCATAGTGAGACCTCATCTCTACCAAAAAAGTAAGTAATTAGCTGGGTGTGGTGGTGCACACCTGAAGTCCCAGCTACTTGGGAGACTGAGATGGAAGGATTACCTGAATCCAGGAGGTTGAGGCCATTGTGAGATGTGATTATGCCAGTGCACTCCAGCTTTGGCAACAGAGTGAGCCTCCAACTCAAAAAAAAGTAAAAAAGAAGGAAAGAAAGAAAGGAAGAAAGGGATGGAGGGAGGGAAGGAGGAAGGAAAGAAGGAAGGAAGGAAGGAAGGAAAGAAAGGAAAAGAAAGAAAAAGAAATCTTAGAGTGGGTTGGCAGGGCTGTGTTATTTCAAAGATTCTAGGGGAGAATCTGTTTTCTTGCCTTTTCCCACTTCTTGAGACTGCCTGTGTTCCCTGGCTTGCAGCCCCTTCAAAGCCAGCACAGTAGCATCTTCCAAGTCCTCTGTGTCTCTCTACTTCCACCATCACAGAGCCTCTGTGTGTCTCTGACCCTCCTGTCTCTTATAAGGTCCCTTGTAATTGATTACATTGGACCCCTCTGAGGATAGCTTCCCCACCTCAAGATCCTTAATCGAATCACGTCTACAAAGTCCCTTTGTCAAATAAGGTCACCTAGGCACAGCTTGTGGAGTTAGGATATGGGCATGTTTTGGGGGGCATTCCACAGACTGCCACAGCCAGTTTGTCTCTGTTGGTCCTACTCTGTCCTCTGTTCCCCCTTGAGTGCCAGAGGCTCAGCATGCACATGGGTCCTGGCTCCCTTGTCATTTGCCCCGTAATTGGGTTTGGCTGAGAGGAGGCACCAGCAGGAGACCTGCTCATGGGAGGAGGAGGGCATTTGGGCCTTTGATTCTCCGATATGCTCCTGGCTGGGCTGTGGTTTGGCAGTGGCTATGCTCTTGGAACTGTGGTCGCAACAGGTATCCCGGGCCACAGCCCTTAGTGGTTCCAAGTGGCAGTGCCTCCCCCGGGGCCTGCAGCCTTAATGTAGCTTGCCACTCCTGCCATTCCCTGGTCCTCTCCATTCCTTGCCAGTTCCTATCTCCTCCCACACCTTTATTCTGCCTCTGTGGCTACCCTGTTTGAGAGGGGCTGGGACCCTGCCTGATCACTATTCTCTAGGCTGTAGGGAGGATGGTGGAGCTGAGGAGGTTGAGAACACGCCTAGTGTCACCGGTTCCTCAAGCAGAGCCAGGATTTGAATTTAGGTCCAAATGCCACAAATGGGCATTAGGCCCGGCATCCTCCTGCTCCCTGGGGCACGAACCCCTCTCACATGTTCTGCTGCAGTCTTCCATGAGAGAACTCCCTACAGTGAGAAGCCTAACCAGAAGTGAGGGCTAAGGGCTTATGTGCATCTGAGGGTTGAAGACATGGCGGTGGAGTATGGTGCATGCCCAGGTACTGCTTGTCACAGGGGCCGAGGCACCTCCCCGTCTGTGAAGCGCCCAGGCAATCTCGTCACATTGAAACAATTTCAC